TGTCTGGGGACGAGGCAAGCCTCTCTCTTTATCTCTTGCTCTCTGAGTTTGGTTCTATGCCTTCACATGGTCCAAAGAGCATATTTGGATTCAATAATATGTACAAAAAAAAAAAAGATAAAAGAGAAAGTAGTTAAGATTTACATGCTTACATATCATACATGTATTTACCAAAAAAAAGGATAAAAGATAAAATACAGGTGGTTGAATGTTTACATTTTATGAGCATATAAGTAGAGTTATAAGACTCTATACACCAATATAATTATCCACCTATGCATAGGATATATAAGTAAAATCAGAGGTATAAGTGGTGAAGAAAAATAACAACCATTTTTAATAAAATCATTAATTATTATTTCTTATAATATTACTTTATTTCTTCTATTTTATTGAAATTATTGCTCATACAAATATACAATTACTTCTAACATGTGCTTTTTTTTACACTGATTTTTTATGTGGATGCCATATTTGATAAGCATAATAATGAGCATTAAGATACATCATATTATTCAAGAAATTTGGGGGCATTTACATACATACAACACAATTTATATGTATTTTCATATCAAATACCTGAAATTTAATTATTATATCTGTACCTCCAAATCATTCATAATATAACAAAAATACCACCATTTGACATTTTAAGAAGCGAAATACACCTTTTCATGCATCGGGGAAGCGTCATGTATGTAAAATTCAAGTTTAGGTGTACAGATATGTAAATACAAAAGATTTGAGTGGTATGTATGTAATTCTTCCTATTTTAAATTATAAGACTAAAAATATATTTCTATATATCTTAAATTTATGAATATGAATTTTTTTTGTAGAAATTTTTTTAAATATTTGTTGAATAAGTTAATTGGAGCATATTTATATAATCTTTTAAATTTAGAAGGTGAACCTATGTTTATATTAAATAAAAGAAATACAGTTAACATAAATTACTTATATACATATTTATTTATAAAGTAGTTCTAATTTTTGAGAGTTAATATAAATATAAAACAAATTTCATTTTATGTGGAAATTATTATAAAAGCATCGAATTGTTGAATTTCTTTTTGTTTAATTATTATAAAAGCAACGAATTTTAAAAAAAAAATTTGATTTTTTATAATATTTAATTGAATCTTTGCTAATTTTTTTATAATTGTAAATTCAAAAATTATATGCATGAATCTCGAGATAATCTAATGTTCCAAAAAAGCAAAATAGAATAACTTGTACTACACTTTTTAAAGCAAAGATAATTATGTAATATTGTATTCTCTCGTTTTGAACTTCCATAAATGGATGAATCATGACATTTATTAAGTGCTCTGGGGCTCTCCTCTCTCAACCCCTTATGGAGGGAGAACTCTCCTCTTTCATTCTCTTATAAGAAAACATTTTAGAGAAATAAAATGGTAATAACCTCAAATTCGCTCCTACAAAGCAAGTCTCCCTCTGTTTCTCTCTCTCTCTCCATCCGTACACTATATTTCATGGGCTTAATCAGACAAATTTGAATTCAACATCTTAACATGTATGGTGAGCATGAAGTATGCCATTAACAAGAACGGGAGCAATACCGAAGAAAAATTCTTCAGAAAAAACACTTTTCAGAAAGAGCATAAAATGGGAACTTATATAGTGGCAAATTCACCTTATTTATTCCTCCATCTCTCTCTCTCTCTCTCTCGAAATCTATAGAAACCTCCTAATAGCACATTAAATTTGTCAGTTTTCCGATCACATGGAGTTCTGAGAAATGCATCAAGACTTCAATAAAATTATGACATTTCACACGACGGACCGACCAAAAAAAATATTTATTTTAATGTAAGATGTGTCTTCTCCGAACACGCGGTGTCCTGATTGATTTCTGTATTGAGTTTTGCATTCCTGATGTAATATTTTTTCCACACCGGCTATATCTTCGGCTCGTTTTTCCTTCTCCGTCGCATGAGGAGCTGCTCCATCGACTCATCGTCCCCATCCTATCGTCGAACCATCTTGTCTGTCTGCACTTTTGCTGTGCGTCGGAAGCATCCCGCTGGCCGGCAGCCACCGCAATGTCGCCCGCATGCTTGCGCTTCTCTTTACCGGCCAATTTCCGCTTGCCGGCAGCCACTTCACCATCAGACGCTTCTGAATTTCCGGACCGCAAGATTTATTGACACGGAAATTTTTCAGTTTCTTGAATTTTGTTTCTATACTATAATATATTCTAAATCAGTTATTGTTTACTTAAAGAAACATAACTATACAAAGTACTTGTCTCAAAATATGAATTAATATATTAATGCTTCATCAACGAATCAAAATTAATGCTTTCTTTTAACAATATCTACAGTGGTCTTCGTAGTTTGTTATTTTTCGGATGCATAATCATATTATTTTCCTTCGAGATTATTCTATTGCACATGTGGATTACAATTTTTGGAATTTTAATGTGACAATAATATCAAGAATGAGTTAAAAGCAAAAAGCAAAAAAAATAAAAAAAAGAGATCGACAATGACGCTATGGATGTCCAATCAATAAAAATGATCGGCTAGAAAACTTTCCTCACCACGAGCTCAAATTCTGTAGCTTAGATTGGGCAAAAATTCGGAGATGGTTTTCTGCCTAGTAGCGACAAGCTCCGCGAAGGGTACGACGATAATCATCTTGGAGAGAAATCTAGGTGGCCTCCTCCCATAAAGAGAGGACCCAACCTAAGACGGAAATCCGATCGGGCAACCGGGATCCACACATGTGAAAGGTTAGAATCCAGCTTCAACTCTCAAAATTAGAGATGGATCCCATCCTCGTAGCTATAAAGTCCACGAAGGGTACATCAATAATCATCCCAGAGAAGATTCTAGGTTGTCTCCTCTCATAAAGAGTGAGCCCAACCTAAGACGGATACATACTAATAGCGACATAGGGCACCGGTTAAACAAAAAATAATCGACTGAGATGCCAAGATCGTGCAGTCGATCCCCTAGGCCATTCAACCAAATAAAACCAGTCAGCTGAGATACCAAGATTGTTCGGCCGATCCCACAAACCATTTAGCCAAATAAATGTGGTCGGCCGAGACACCCAAATTGCCCGGTCGATCTTGCAAGCCATTTAGCCAGATAAAAATAGTTGGCCAAGACTCCAAGATGGTCCAGTTAATCACTCTATATACACATATAAATTTGTTCTCATCCCTGAAGATGATCCCCTACTCGGCAGCGACAAACCCACAAGGTGTAACAGGCAAATCATCCCAATTCAATGACTAATCAATTAACAATGAGTATCACTAGCAATTCATATGCTCGTGTGTTTTGTTTTATAAATTTATTTGTTCTTATCACAGTTGTCGCTATCAGAAAGTAAGAAAATTGATGAACTTAATATGTACACCTAAAAATGATCTTCATGAATATTAAGACAATTTAACGGTCTAGACAAGAAGACTAGAATGTCTTGTACTACCCTTCTTAAAGCAAGAGTAATTATTTAATACTATATTTTATCTTTTTTTACCTTTTATAAATAGAAGAACCATGACATGTATTAAGCGTTATGGGGTTCTCCGCTCTCAAGAGCTCTCTCTCCTTCTCTTCTCTTATAACCCAACTTTTCAGAGAAATAAAATGAGTTTAAGAGCGGCGAAAATATCTCATTCACCTCTTCTCTCCCTCACTCCCTCCCTTTTTCTCTCCTAGGCGATTATTTATATGTAATATTAATATACATACCACTCAATTCTTATGTATTTACATATCAGACGCCTAAACTTCAATTTTTACTTATATGCTATCTTATTTACGCATGTAAAAGTGTATTCCAATTATTAAAAGCAATAATAATGAAATTTTTTATGTGACTTAAAAATCTTGGGTTATATAAAGTAAAATTTAGTTCAATATATAAATACATAACAAATTAGGTGACATGCACGTAAGTGCTCGTATTTCAAAATGTAGACTTATTTTTATTCAGAAGGGCCATGTACGTGCCAAGATCCTTACCTAATTTTTTCATTAACATTAACAAAGGAGCTGGACTATTTTCAAAATTGATTCAACTAAGCTCTTAATTTTTAAAAGATAATTAAACTTATGAGAGTCCTAATTGAGCCGAGTTTAAATTATTCATGCATTGGTTCATTTCCAGCGTTAGTTCCGGTTATGTTCATGATGTATTCTATTAAATAAAGTTATTATATTCCCATATTAATTTAGAACAAAGTCTTAAGAATCAACAGCTCATAAAATCATTGAGTATATGTAGGTGTAAAATTGAACTTTTTTGGGGGCATTTACATAGATATCACCCAATTCTTATTTAATTACATATCTAACACCTAAAGATTATTTTCATCACCTAAATCTTTCTCATCACATTAAAAATACCACTATTTTAACTTTTTAAAAATGAACTGCACCTTTTCATTCATAAGGTGACATAAAAATTAAACTTTAGGTGTTATGACACGTAAGAATTGGGCAGCATGCATGTAAATATTCCGACTTTTTAAGCATATTTGAGAACAAACTATATTTATTAAAAAAACAAATAAACAAGTGTTAAAGTGGAGAAATTATTCCGTACAGACACAACATGCAGAGATGCATGCGGTGTCTGATCTCCACCGTTGATCACCGCAACCAAAATTAAAAAAAAAAAAGTTGAAAGTGGGACCCACCGAAATATATCTTTGCAATGATCGACGGTGGAGACCAGATATCTTTGCATGCGGTGTCTGTATGAAATAATTTTTCGTCAAAGTGGGCGTTAAGAAAGAGGTACAAGAGCGCTGAAATCTGAATGGGAGTATCAAAATCTTTTTTTTTTTTTTCTCGTCCTTGAAAAAAATCATTTGAGTCCAGAACTACAAATTTAACATAAGACCAAACCAATCCTAGAACAATGACAATTTTTAAAATCTGATGCAAGCCACATTAACATGTTGATTGGGAGTTCAATCTTCCAACAAATAGATCCTAAATTCAAAGAATACTTCCTAAATCTTTACCAACCAAACTACTGACTGACATTCATAAATCAATAATTCATCCTTCAACAATGCGAACAGTCCCAGTTATCAATACCTAAAAGAAAAAACAATTAAGAAAAGAGAAAATAGCCAGCAATAAGCCAAAAAACTAACCTGGCATACCTTGGCTTGATGGCATTTGGTTAAAAATTTAAAAAAATTAAATAAAAAAAGGTCTTAAAAAAATGTAAAATGAAGCATATTGGTCATATAAATTGTAACATTCATGCAGCCAGGGATTCATGCAAGCACACTGCCTGGCTTAGCCAAGGACTGGACGAAGGGCGACCCACGAGAACTATATGAAAAAGTCTTCACAGGATGGTGTCCATGTTTTGTGAACAAAACCTGCTTTTTCAAGCCACTCCTACCATGCCGCGAGCTAGTGTTTGCTTCTTCTAGCATGATCTGGAAAAACTGTGAGGAGCACGCCATGTCTTTGAAGTCAACCATGGGTATTAGCGCTTCAACTACTTCACTCATGAGTGGCCTGGACTTGGGATCCCGGCAAAGGCATTTATGAGCAATCTGCGCGACCTTTTGAGCTCCTTTGATGGAGAAGTGGCCCTCCAGGCGAGGGTCGATGAGCCGGTAAAACCGCCGCCGTTCCCCGAGATTAGGGCGAGCCCACTCCACAAGGTTTTGCTCTCCATTAGGCCGACTCTTGTCCATCGACCTCCGGCCGGTCATCATTTCAAGTAGAACTACGCCAAAGCTGTAGACATCGCTCTTCGAGGTCAGATGTCCTGCCAAGCATATAGCCGTTGGTGAAATAAAGACCTACGATGGTGGAGAGAGGGATAATTGTGTAATTCAAAACAAGTGAAAAGAAAATTTTTCCAGAACATTACAATGCATTGAAATACTTGTTTAGTTTTCATTATGGGGGATTTACATATTACCATCCAATTCCCATGTATCTACATATCTAACACCTAAACTTTGTTTTTATATTTATATCACCCAAATCTTTCATATCACATTAAAAATACCTATGTATTTTTAATGTGTTATGAAAGATTTGGGTGATATAAATATAAAAACAAAAGTTTAGGTGTTAACTATGTAAATACATAGGAATTGAGTGGTATGTTTGTAAATATTCCTAGATTTTATTTAACCTCTTTAACTAGGAGCAACACTTCTAGTAATATTGGTGGACTTGAGTGCAAGCTTACATAGAAGATTGCAGAGCACAAGATTATGGAAGAAGTACCACTAGCGATGGTGTATTTTCTTTACCTTTTCTAATCAAATCCACTGTTCACTGCGAACTATGAATGGCATTTTGACAATGGGTACTCATCCCAGCAACGCAGCTACAATATAGGATGATATGTACTGACTGTCTAAATGCGAATTGAACTCACTGGACATTGTCCCAACGGATAAGCAATCGCTTTCTGAAATGAACTTCAATAAAATGGCATGATTCTATATGAAAGGCTTGCCATCATCATGACTTACTATTGCTAGGAGTGCTGAAAAAAAAATCTACTCTAGTAGAAATTGATACAATTTAAATTGCAGGGTGGGACAATTATTGATATCCCACAGATTTTCATTGGATATCACTATTACCAACTGTTGTTGCAGTTAATTAATTAATGGATGATGATGTTTAAGATTTTAAGCCAGCTCCATGAATGCTCATCTTTCATTTAAGAAAGGAATCAAAATGGCCCAACTATTTGCAGGGTTCCAAAATAATCCCAGAGAATGTAAAAGGCAAATGTAGCCACCAAATTTTTTAAATAAAAATTAAAATAGTCCATCGACAGGACTGTTTTAGTCCCCAACTAAAGAGTCTAAGAACTGTTTTAGTCCCAATTTAAATATTTCGGGGACTAAAATAGTATTTTATATAGTCTAGAAATATTTTGGTCCAAACAGTTGGAGGATCAATTTGATTCCTTTCTCTTATCCATTTATTCCTCTTACCAAATGATTCTAGAAAAACTAAACCAATTTCAACAAATTAGGTTGCTAGATTTGAAGCAATAATGTAAAATACAGTGCAGTTGAATTTGGAAGCAAGAGATTTAAACACATTAACACCAAAACTTCAGCGAAGATTAAACACACTTTATTGACGTACTGAATGAGGAGAAAGAGTCCCAACCAGGATGGCACAATGAGTTCTACCATTTTAATTTTTGGAAATATAGCAAGAAAATAAACATAGCTTAAAAATCCTATTAAATTTCTTAGATATGTTCATAAGGGATTTCGCAGAATGTTATCTAAAATTTTACATTGAATATATTAAGGTACTGGTTCCAGCAACACCAACGGAACTGCCATGATTATAAAATTGGTATATGGATGTACAAATGTTTAGAAGTAAATAAAATAATAATTAACAGGAACTACTACTCGGGAGATTCATTGAAAGCCAGACAAGCAAATACTGAAGTACCTGTCATTACATACTCTGGAGCTGCATACCCATAGGTTCCCATTACACGAGTTGATACATGAGTCTTATCTCCCTCAGGACCATCTTTAGCAAGTCCAAAATCAGAGAGCTTAGCATTATAATCCTGGAAGAAAATCACGCCAGAAAAGATAAACAGACCAAAAGGGATGAAAAACCGTGATGAATTAATTAATGCAGTTTTAGAACATACAGTATCCAAAAGGATATTAGATGTTTTAAAATCACGATATATCACAGGTCTCTCAGCTTCCTCGTGAAGAAAAGCAAGGCCCTTAGCAGCACCAAGTGCTATTTTCATTCGTATGGTCCATGGAAGAGGAAAGGATCCTGAAACGAAAAGAACAAAGATCAAGAAAAAGGGCAAGGATGCAAGTTATTTGTCCGCAATATCTAAAAGATTTTGGTCCGAAAATTCACAACATTGTTTAATAGTGATATTTCAGATGACCTCTGATATGACATCATTACAGGTCAGTAATTTATAGTCGATAGAAATGAAAAAGAAAATGAAAGAAAAACATATCAAGAATGCACAAAAGCTACCTTTTCTTTAATAGGTGCGGTAGCGGAACTAGGGGAGGGAGGGATGCTCAAACTTGGAGTCAACCTCTTATTATTGTATATCACATTAAAACTTTTGCCACATCAAAATTAAAATCATACTTTATCATACTTCAAGTACATGTAAAAATCACGATAAATTAATATATTTAAATATATATTTGTTATTTATTAATGATAATAATTTAAGAAATTATATGTCAATATCAGAATTCATCTCCTATTTTATACCCAAATTCTTGAAACTATCTTCTTCTATTTTGTGCCGAAATTTCTAAAACATTTATCATCTCCCCCTCCCACACCTAAATTTCTATAACCCACATCGAACGTGGGAGCTACCCAGGAGGCATTTACTCGACGTTTGCTACAGTGCTGCAACGCTAGCAACAGTACCGAAAGACTGTTTTTCATTTTGACTAAACCGGTCCAGACTTGGGAGGGTCAACCAGCGCTCCCACTCTGGTTTGGCCCTCCTTTCCATAGAAGGATACAATCCTAGTTATCTATAGCTTATATATGTGATTTAGATGTTTTAGGTTTTCAATTTCTTTCATATATTTATGGACAATCGTCCGCTTCCAGTATTCCCCTTCTACAGTTGTATTCGAAGGCGAGGATGTACTCGAGTTGTAACTCGTTTGAGGTGGTGACTGTTTTCGAAGGATTGAATTAAACTCCGATTGTAGTTTAATCTCGCGGAGATATTTATCCTCAATTTCCTATCCCCCACAACCCTCCCGCCGTTGTCGTTGCCACCTTTCCTTGTTGTCGGAACCATTGGACAACACTCCCACTGTCTTCCTACAACTCCAGCCACCACCTCCTCCATTGGCTGCCCTCCTTTCTAGCCACCTCTTCCCACACACTACCTCCACCCCAAAACTGCCAGAAATCCCTATTATCCTGCACTACTAAATCTTCCCAGCTACCTCTTTTGGACTGGCTGCCACCCTGCAAAGTCACCCCACTGCTGCCCTCCCTCATTCCAGGCCCTCAGAACAGCTGGTTCTTGTTGATTACTGCCAGTTACAAAAATTCCCTGCTTGCTGCTGCTCAGGACAGCAAGTTTGAGGCCGCCTTGCCATTATTTCCCCACAGCCCTGCCCCTTCCCGACCTTGCCTCCACCTTCCAAGCCCCTAACAACCGCCATCCCCACTCAAGATCCACCCTAGTTGAGTGTCTGGGCAGCGTCTATTATTATTTCAGTTTTTCAGATTTCGTGTTGTATTTTCTCTTTCAAGTGTGTTGATTGTAACCACTTATTTACTTTCAATAATAATACTTATTTTTTCTATTATGATTTGGGTTAACTCTGGCATCATCTCCTCTTTTGTGCCTAAATTACCAAAGCCCTCATCTTCTCCCTTTTATACCCAACTTCTCAAATCCCTCAAGGGGAAAGGCCTTCATGGGACCACAACAAATAACGGTGAGCTCATGATGTGAACTCATTGGACGCTGTCCCGGTGTAGTGATTTCAGGCCTTGGCTTCCAATTTTTGTTTAGGCCTTTCATTCTTCAAAGGGGCCGAAATCAAGTAGCTCCAGGTAATGTCATAAGTAGATAGGAAATCTGATTGGTGTAATACATTTCTTGATGTTTGACTATAGCAATTCAATGAGAATGCTGTTTTCAATTTTGAACTGATACAAATTGTATGGTTGAAATGATTGTTATAAATTAATGTATTGATAGAAAATCTCTTAAAAATGATATAAATTTAAGCCTCAAATTGTGAAAAGATGTGCTACAATGACAATGCGGCTCACCCCAATCCTTTAGTCTCCTAGCTCTTCTACAAATAGGTTGATAAGGGTGCCTTAATGAATTTGTCATGCAGAACTTTGACTTTCACGATCTTCTCTGTTCATCTCCTTCCACATTTCTACCAAGTGGTCTCAAAATTCTCTTCTACCATGGAAGATGCAATAAGGCTTTCATGTACAATGCAATGGAGGGTCCATTACTATAATATTTATTTGCTCCAAAATATTCTTCGGAGTTTCCAAGTAATTAATCTAAATCTTGAGTACTAATTAAATCTCAGTTAATTCTTGCAAATAAACAAACTCCTAAGAATTTCAAAAGTGAAGTAAAATTTTAAGACAAATAGAGAAACGTAAACAGAGCTTTAGTCATTTAGGAATTAAAGCATGAGCACAATTGTAAGATTTGTTTGTTACAAAAGAAAAGTTTTTAGATTCTATTTTAAAGTAACATACACACAAACTATTGGCATTTGTAGTTCAATTCATCTTCACATTTCTCAATAAGAGCTTTCTCAAGATGACATCATGACATCATTTGAGCTTATTCTCACTTCATATCTTATAGTTTAACACAGTCATTGTCGGGTCCCAAGACTCGGACACAAAAAATAGTGACATGAATGCTTTAAGTTAATGTGCAAATGCTAGGGAATATCCGGGAAGCGACGAGCTATATGACCCAAATACAATGAAAAAAGTGTAAGGGCCGCTACACCGACACTCTGATATAGTGTTAAATAAGCAATGAATCTCATATTATGGACAGATGTAAGAAAAGAAGTTAGTCCAAAACTAATAATGGGATAAGATCTTAGAATATAGGTATTCTCATAGGTAAATTAATGGAATTAGTAGATATTATGCTTTATAAAAAGATAAATATGTTATGCATTTGAGAAACCAAATGAGTTGGAGAAAAGACTAAAGAAATTGATAGTTTAGGTTTTAAATTTTAGTATTCAGATAAGAGTTTCTGTAGAAATGGTGTGTAATTTTAGATAAAAGTTTAAAAGATAATGTTTTAAAAATTAATAGAACTAGAGATAGAATTATAACTATAAAGATTGTTGTTGACATTCATATTTTTAATACTATAAATGTTTATGCTCTTCAAGTAAATTTAAATATAAATGATCTAGAATAATTAATACAAACGATACCTCTTGAAGAAATAATTTTTATTGGAAGAGATTTAAATGACCAAGCTGGTAGATCGGTAGAAGAATTAAAACTGTGATGTTCATGACGAAGCTGATTCTATGTGGGATAAAACAACAAGGACTATAAAAAAAGTGGCAAAAGATGTATTTGAAGAATAAAAAGAAAAAAAATTTATAAATAAAAAAAAGTTGGTGATGGAAAAATAATGTGGAAGAAAATATAATATATAAGATGTTTTGTTATAACAATCGGATTAGATGTAAAAGGTTACAAAATGGGGAAAAGATAAGATAATCGGTAGAGAGCCTGAGGGAACAACTTGTGATGCTAAGATTTATGCTTTTAATTATCTTCAAAATAGATTTGATACCAAGGAAAATAAAATATAAATGAATAAACTGACCAAATAAACAAAAAAGAAGAGTTAAGATTAGATTCAAGTAAAGTGTACTAATAATGAAAATAAAAAAGTGCTTTTCTCACAGAAAGATATTCGACATAGGTGGATGAGATATTTTGATAATATCTTCAAAGAAGTTTTTGAAAATACGATCAAACTTAGTGATTACTGTTAATAATAATAAAACTCTTTGTTTTTACCATCACATTAGTAAAAAAGAAGATGAAGTGTCTTCAAAGAAAACCAATAGTGGAAATTAGTAAAACCTGATGATATCTCAATAGAAATATTAAAATATTTAGGAGTTTCTTGGCTTATTGAACGTTTTCATATCATTTAAAAATTAAAAAGATGTCTGAGTGCAAAAGTGTTTGGTCCCCATTTTTATAAATAAAAGGAATGCACAAGAGTGTGCAAACTATTGAAGAATTATGTTTGTGTGTCATACATTAAAATTATGGGACAAAGTAACCGAAAATAGGTTAAGACGTAATACAAAGATTTCTCATAATCAAATTGGATTTATGCCAAGCAGGTTTACCATGTAAAGTACACATTTATTGAGAGGTTTGATGGAGAAGTACATAGAGAGTAAGTAGAATCTATATATGCTTTTTATTGATTTGGAAAAAACTTATGATAAGGTTCCAAGGAAGTTCTTTGGAGAGTTTTAGAAAGGAGAAGTGTTGATGTGACTTATATTTAAGTCATTAAGAATATATATACTAGATCTGTTACTTTTGTTCGAACAAAAGGAGGACTGATCAAGTATTTTAGCTTATATCTTTTTGCTTTAGTTTTGGATACTCTTACTGGACATTAACAAGAGGATGTACCATGGTGTATGCTTTTCATTGATGATATTCTTCTTATGGATAAGACTAGAGAGAGTTCAAGTAAAATTTGAATTATGGAGGTCTACATTAGAGTCTAAAGGCCTTTGTTTGAATAGATCTAAAACTGAATACATGGAATGTAGCTGTAGCTTTAGTAGTATGTAGCTTTAGTAGTAGATCTAGCGGTAGAGTTATAACAATGGGAGATCAAATCATTAAAAAGTGTGAATGTTTTAAATACCACAGGTCTATTGTTCAAAATGATGGTGATATAGATGAGGATCCTATTAGTAGAATTCAAGTTAGAAGGTTGAAGTGGAGGAATGCATTGGGCTTACTGTGTGATAGAAAAGTACTGCTAGGATTTAAAGAAAAATTTTATAAGATGGTGGTTAGACCTATAATGCTTTATGGCGCAAAATGTTTGTCTTTAAAAGAGAAGCATAAAACCAAGTGTTGCTAGGATGAGAATGCTTAGGTAGATGAGTGGCTTGACACTTAGAGACAAAATACAAAATGAATGTCGCAATGAAAGGGTTTGTGTAGATCTAGTGGCAGAAAAGATTAGAGAGAGTCATCTTAGATGATTTGTTCAC